CCGTTTTCCCTCATGTGCAATTATGTTTATTGATCCCAGGTGTTTCTCGTCAAGTCCTGTGTATTTATAGTGATTCCTGTTTTGAGTTCACTGTGCTGTCTCGATCGTCAATCCTTGTTCCTACGTGTGTGCTCCATGTGGTAAATAAAGACTGTTGAATTCTCCTACGTCTCCTTCGCTCCTCGCGCCGACACAGTAGGCAACACCTCAAAACTATCGTTTTCAATGACTTCATATTCAATATTTTGATCACTGGCAGCTTATTCACCACATCCAGCATCAAATGGCAGTGACATTTATATTTCATTGCGTATAGTAATTGCGCTGCACTAAAGCCATTCAAACCAGTAAAATTTTTGCTAATGATATTCGTTTGTTTTATACCTGCGGTAATTTTGAGTGAAACATCACGTCATCATTGTGTATCAAACAGTGCCACCTTGAGGAAAAAAGATGCATTGGGAAAAAAGATGCAACCGGTGGATCAGCACTTAGAGAGGACCTCTACAGCCCTGAATGTCAGCGGAGCAGAACAACTAGATGAGCCCCAGAGACAGATCCCCAGTTAGGACCTTGTCTCAGACGGCCACCGGGACAAGACCACAGGAGCCAGTTGAGTCCTCTGCACAATGTGACATTGCTGCAGCCTGGAATTGAACTGCTGGTTTCGTCTGGCCAGAGGAGAACTGGCCCCCCGACTGAGCCTGGTTTTCCCCAAGATTTTTTCTCCATTCTGTCACCGATGGAGTTTTGGTTCCTTGCCGCTGTCGCCTCTGGCTTGCTTAGTTGGGGGACACTTAATTTCCAGCGATATCGTCGACTTGATTGCACAGACACTATTTAAACTGAACTGAGCTGGATGATGACATCACTGAATTCAATGATAAACTGCCTTTAACTGAAAATTGAGTGTTTACTATTGTCATTTTGCATTATTGACACCATATTTTCTTAATTAATGCTGTACAGTTGCTTTGACACAATCTGTATTGTTAAAAGGGCTATATAAATAAAGGTGACTTGACTTGATTTGACATTGCACAAATTGAGTCATCAGATATGTAAATATAGTCACGCAGGAAAAAAATACTTACACATTTACATACCTCGGGTCTGTAGTGACCCTATACACTTTTTACAAAAAATTAATCAGAAAATAGGCATTCTTTTATATTTTACAATTTTTTTCTTGTTATATTGTTTATAATGAATAGATTGAGGAATACTAAGAAAGTTGATGTCTAACTTTAAAAAAATAAAGGAGGGAGAGGGTAGAGAATGAGCTCCCGGGTCGCTAAAGACCCAAGGTATGCATTTAAGGGTTAAAAGAATACAATTTGAGTGCAATGAATCTTGGTATAGTCTGGGTAATTAAGGATCCATTAATTGTATCCGTTGTGGCCTGGAAAAAAAGGACACATTTCATGGACACATTTCAACGAGACAACGAGATATTGACAAAAAAATGATATGTCGATATTTTCTGGGATTTTATAGATAACGATAATTAGACAATATTTTGCTGAGTCTGTTATTGTGCTGGTATCTTTAGGACTACCGTGGACAGCTGACTCCTAAAGTTTTTGATATTCTTCATATTCTGTGTGGTGGTCAGTTCACAGCAGTGATAGAAATTAATCTTTTCCAATAAGTTTAAATAGATTTTTACCTTTTATGGCCATTTTTACTTTTATAAAGCCGTTTTTTATTCTAAAAGCGTGCATCATCTTTTAAGTCAAGTTCTTACATTTAATCAGTCATGATCAGTCATTTAATCAGACATTTGGGCTGTTACCAAGCAAATGAAATCAGTAACAAAGTTCATCTTTGCAATGCAGAGGAAACACAGAAACTGCATCTAAAGTGGCATTTAGATGTGTTTACATACTGTTTAATGCAGCTCAGAGGGACATGGAATGCTTTAACTTGCAGCTACAAATTCATAAACAATGTTTTGATATTTTAACCATAAAACATTGAATACTGATATTTGAAATTATAAAAAAATGAAAAGATACTTTACTTGGGCAGTTGTGGCCTAATGGTTAGTCGGACTTGTAACCCGAAGGTCACAGGTTTGAGTTTGTCACTGTACTGGCAGGGGTTGTAAGTGGGGGGAGTGAATGACCAGCGCTCTCTTCCACCCTCAATACCATGACTGAGGTGCCCTTGAGCAAGGCACCGAACCCCCAACTGCTCCCCGGGCACTGGAGCAAAAGGCTCCCCACTGCTCTGGCTGTGTTCACGGTGTGTGTGTGTGTGTGTTCACTACTCACTGCTGTGTGTGCACTTGAATGGGTTAAATGCAGAGCACAAATTCCGAGTATGGCTTACCAAACTTGGCAAATGTCACAACTTTCACTTTCACTTTCACTTTCACTTAAATGTGAAATTAAAACCACCAGCTGGTGGCAGCAAGTCACTGTTAATAAGTGAGCCATTGCGATTGAACCAAACCATTTAAACGGGTGATTCATTCAGGAACGAATCACCTCCATGTTGCTCAGAGACACAAAACAGTGCAGTGGCTGTGTTTGAAATAATTTTTTGTTGGCGAAATAGAGCAAAAACAGGCAACATGGTGTCTAAAACATAAGTATTTTGATTAACTTCTTGTTTATTGAACTATTGTAAAAAAAAATCTATATCACTTGATTTGTAATCATGCTGATTTTTGGTGGAAAAAAACAGCACTCTTACTGTGATATTGATTAACTATATGAAATGATATGAATATATAAATTTTCTGCCTCCATATCTTGAATTTTGTGATCATTATAAATGTATTTTAATAGACTAGATCATGCAGTGAAAGAACAAACTCTAAACGCGCACTAGACTACATCACGTAATGTACGCGTGCACTCTGTATATCAAATAATATCAAATCACACTTCATTAAAACAACAATTACATTATCACAGATGATATATATCGCACACCCCTAGCTGTGATGCATTCAGTCTTCAAATGCAGCCTTCGAAGAATGAAACCTCTGAATTGTGACACAGCTAATGTGTGTTGTATCCTAATTCTCAGTTAAATGGTTTACCCTGTTTTATAATTGTGACTATTTGTGTTTACAATTAAGAGAATGTGCCATTAATCGTTTCAGGTCGAATGAGTTTTGCAGTTGTTATTAGATTATTTTCATGTGCATTTCTGGTAATTATTGATTCACAGCTTGTAAGAACATAATAATAAAAACATGGCACCTTTGATAAATTATATAAATGGTAACCATTTTAAGTAAAGTAAAACAGTTATAGGTCAACTTAAGTAGAGCTATTCCAAAAATATGAATAAGTCCACATCTGGAATAGTTAGTTGCTAGTGAAATTGGAAAAGATTTAATCTTAAAAGGAATACTTAGAATACTAAAATATTAGACTAATGAATAAACAAAAAGCACCTGTAACTTTTTGTATGTTGTTTAAAGGAATAAATGTTATATTGGCTTGCCATAGCGCTTGGAGAGAGCGAGCGAGGGAGGGAGGGCATTGCTGCTTAAAATGCTGTGAATGTGACAGCCAATAGACCAGACTGTCAACCTCAGCTTGGGGAGGGAATGTGGAGAAACCTCCACGAGGAAAATGCGCGCGAAGTGACGCGACACGCGCCGCTCTACAAGTGCTCTAACCATATTCCAAGAACAGCGCGAGAACCGGGGCGCGAAAACGACTCGCCCTGTTGAGGGGACAAACATGACTGTGGTGCCCGGGGAGAACCTCGACGAGACTGTGGCATTGGCAGCCCTGTCCCAAGATGTTTACGACCCTGAACGGGCAGACCAGGAGTGCTGCGAGCGGGTGGTTATCAACATCTCCGGGTTGCGCTTCGAAACCCAACTAAAAACACTGGCGCAGTTCCCCGCCACCTTACTCGGTGACCCCAGGAAAAGAATGCGCTTCTTCGACCCTCTGAGGAACGAGTACTTCTTTGACAGGAACCGACCGAGTTTTGATGCCATTCTCTACTACTATCAGTCTGGAGGCAGGTTGAGGAGACCCGTCAATGTTCCTGTGGACATCTTTATGGAGGAGATCAAATTCTACGAGTTAGGAGAAGAAGTCATTGAGAATTTTAAGGAGGACGAGGGTTTCATCAAGGAGGAAGAGCGACCTTTGCCCGAAAACGAGTTTCAGAGGCAGGTCTGGCTGCTGTTCGAGTACCCAGAGAGCTCTGGACCCGCAAGGGGCATCGCAATCGTCTCGGTGCTCGTCATTTTGATATCAATTGTCATCTTTTGCTTGGAGACTTTACCTGAGTTTAGGGAGGACGGGAAAATGTATGAGGATCACCTGGCATTCAATGGAACTGCTAGTTCAAAGAAGCCCAATCCATTCACAGACCCCTTCTTCATTGTGGAGACCCTTTGTATAATCTGGTTCTCCTTTGAATTGCTCGTGAGGTTTCTCGCGTGCCCAAGCAAGCCCGCTTTCTTCAAGAATATCATGAACACAATCGACATCGTGGCTATTATCCCCTACTTCATCACTTTGGGTCTGGAGTTGGCCGAGCATCAGGGCAACGGCCAGCAGGCGATGTCTCTGGCCATCCTGAGGGTCATTCGCTTGGTGCGGGTGTTCCGCATATTTAAGCTTTCCAGACACTCGAAAGGGCTTCAGATCTTGGGCAAGACACTGCAAGCGAGCATGCGGGAACTGGGTCTCCTCATATTCTTCCTTTTCATTGGAGTTATACTGTTCTCCAGCGCCGTGTATTTCGCCGAGACGACGACAGTGGATTTTACTATGACGTGATGTGCGATTGTTTTTTAAACTGTCCTCCATTGTTGTGATTGTAGACCATCGAAGCGCGAGACGTAGTCATAGGCGCAAAAATAAAAAAGAGAATCAAATAGAACGTATGTTATATATAAGCAAGCCCAATTAAATCAACGTGTAGTAGCACTTTATTCGTATACTCTTAGTCCACAAATTCGTGATCCGTTAGTTTTCCACAAATTTGGTGACAGTACGATACAGTTTACAAATGGCTAATTTGAAAGAAATAGCAGGACCAATATATGTAACTTTTTGTTATTTGTTTTCTAACGAGGGCAGTTCAACTGCAAGGCCGTTTTGAAAAAAAAAAAAAAAAAGAAGACTTGCCCCAGCTTATTTAAAAATGGCAACTGTTATTATTATTACCATTTTAAAAGCTAATTGTGTAATGTGTAACGTTACATTTGGAAATTTGAGAAATGCATATCTCTGTGCTTTTTGAGGACGATTAGTAGAAGAGCAAACCAGCTTTGTGATTTTTAATTTAGGATCACACTGCATTTTCAGGTTGCCATAATATCAGTGGCTCTGCATTAACATTAAAAGGTTATGGCATCTTAAAATTACTTGATAATTTCATTCGAACTATGTAGAGCACTTCAGGGATAGACTTACACTGATAAGCAACACTAAGCTTCTTAATTTCTTCATATTATCAACAGATGTGTAGGGAATGAATGAGGAGAGGCTCGATTTCAACAATGTGCGCCCAAATCTGGACACGAGGATTTTTTTTAATACACTAGCGTTATCTAGTGGAAAAGGGTGGTAACTGCAGTCTTTAAGATACTAAATGTGTTTCCATAGCAACTTTCCAGACTGTTCTGGAGACATTGGGCTATTATTGTTCCCTTCATTTATTCACATGAAAGATGGCTTTTGGTGCTTTTATTTTAAAACAAGGTACATTAATGAATTCAGTTAAATGGAAAAAAATCAACTCTCAGATAGGCAGGTTTACATTCCTTATTAGGTCTCGTTAAACTAAAAGAGCCCACAGAGGCTTATCCAATATATCAAATGTGAATACAAAGTAACAAAATAACACCATATAGCCCACATCCGTAAAAATGGAGAAACGTCTACATTTCTGCACTGCAACAGCATCAAAGGGGATAATGAATTCAGCACAAAAAGGGATTTATGACTTCACTGTGAGGAAGGAAAAGCTCATCCGTCTATTGGCTGGACTAGGAGAATCAACTCATGCAGTATCAGTAATGCACAACAACTGCACAGATTTCTGGACACACCACATCAAGTTTTTTTGTTTTTTTTTTTACTCTGGATTTTCACATTAACAAGAAGAGTTCAGACAGGAAGAGGTATGTAATACTGCACATCCATGAAAAATAACTGTGTATGTGTTGTAAAGTATTTGTGAGAAATATTTATATTTTGTACTATTTCTAATAATAATATATGAAAGCAATACTTTTAGGCCCATATACAAACAATATAACTGCAAACAGTATAAACTGGAAATATTGACAAGTTTTAAGAATTATGTCACTAAAACAAAAAAATTGCACAGATAAGTATGTTTTTCATAGACGGTTTTTGTTCATAGGCAATTTAAATGATATGAGATATTGCACAATATAAAATATAAAAGCAAAAAAAATAATAGAGGTCTAGAATTTGAATATTAAGATCTGTGGAATGAAATGTGTAAAGGAACAAGATCTATCTTATTATTATTATTATTATTATTATTTAGATTGATCATAATCAACAAAGCCTGGTACCACATTATTCCAATACAGTCTACAATAATCATGAATTTCACTCCTAATAAATCCTAAAATATTTTGCCAAAGCAATTTAGTAAATTAACTAAATAATTAATTATTTATTAACTAAATAAATAATATAATTACCACAAAAAGAGGAAATATATTTTAGATACTTTTTCATGTAATGGTTTGCAGGGTATTACTTTTGAACTAATCTGAAAGAAATCTAATTATTTTATTGGTTAAGAAATATACCATATACTGTTATTAATTCCTGTTTTCATGTAGGAAACAAAAAGCACATGACTGAATTAAATTACACAACAATATAAGTATGTCTATGTCTATAAATATAATTGTTTAAAAAGTAAAAGTGTATGAAAAATATACCATATACTGTTATTAATTCCTGTTTTCATGTAGGAAACAAAAAGCACATGACTGAATTAAATTACACAACAATATGAGTATGTCTATGTCTATAAATATAATTGTTTAAAAAGTAAAAGTGTATGAGATAAGACTTGTAGTATGCAGATTACAAAACTAGAATTTTTAATTCTAAAACAACACCCCAAGTAAAAATTGACCCACTTTTCGTACACTAGGGGGCAGTGTGTGCATGTTTTTAATCACTCTGTCAATATCCTTTCTGTAGTGTTTGCTGGTAAAGCCAGAATAAAGTTTAATGACTTCAGTTAGGTATTATTTTTTTGGGGTTTTTTTTACCAAATTTTTACTTTGTGATAACTGTTCAGAGTAATAAATTCAGCGGAACCGTCACTATATTATGTTATAATATATAATAAGATAATGCAGATTAAATAGTTAAAATCTTAAAATAGTTTAAAAAAATCTTAAATATGTAATTTTTTAATTTTATTTATTGTAATGGCTGAAATCTGTCTGAAATCCAAGGTTAAAATGGCATCCAGTTATCATAAACATTCATTGGGGGAACAACCAAATGTGCATTCTTATGTATCAATCCAGTTAGAGAATCCTCAAACTAGTTCCTAAACAGAGCAGTGCACAGCACAAATAATGTTGATCCATAAATAGATCTTATATTAAATACATACTCTTAACCCAGGCTCAATCCACTGCAGCCACTGAACTGCCATGCCAGGTTACATGAGGAGAGAGTGGGGGTATTTCCTGACCCACTTTAACACTGTTGTGTTGCACTAACCATGTGTGTTTAATGTTTTATGGGGAATGCTGGTTTGGTCACATGGGAAAAAAACAGAAATAAGAGTGACATATATAGACCCCTGATATTGTATTGTGTGTTATGCTTATAGATTTTACACACACACACACACACACACACACACACACACACACACAGACAGACAGACTTGAC